GAGAAGCGGTCTTGGGGACTCAAGCGCCAACATAGTTGTTGCTATGGCGACAATGCAACGACTACCCAATACCCGGAAATCCGGGCAATTAAGTGATGACATGCAAGCCTACGGCCGTACGCCATGGCCCGAACCGCCGAAGATTGCAAACCAAGCCCGGGCTCCATCCGTCTCGGTCGAATCAAGCCGCGGTTGTCGATTACTCAAGTCCCCCGGCCACCCAACCAACGTGGCTCATGGCAACAACGACCCACCAGACAACCGTCAAGGTAAAGCGGTGGTCAGCGACCGGTGGTCGGGGACGACAACACGCCCGCGACTACTCGGGGCGACAACGCCGCAACAAGCTGGGATAATCGGCGAGACAACGCGACAATCGCCCGTGATAACCGCGATCGTGGGGTCAACAGGTGGCAATCGGGATCACCGTGATGGCAATAACGATCTCCGCCATTCCCTCGGAGAAGCAGCGATATGCGCGATCGCATTAACCAAAAGACCAGCGATCGTGCATCCCACGAAAGCTATCGCCCGTATGGAATATGATACTACCCATAGCCCTCGGGTTTGAAGCGATTTACTCCTCACCTTCACCAAGTCGTGTGGCCAAAAACTTTAAGCTCAAAAACTCCGGAAATGCGGCGGCAAGGAGAACCTAGAGTTATGGGTCATGCTCTCTGAAACGCGTGCAGATCGGCCATGGTGGCAGCGAGCACGTCATGTCTAATTACTTCCTAGTCGCCGCCGGCCATGCGAGCCACCAATGGCTGGTCGACTTGCTTACGGCAAACTACTTTGATTATTGGCAAGAGCTCAAGCAAGCATTCGCCGACAAGCTGCATTGCTACTTGCGAACAACCCGGCAACAAATATGATCTCTGCCGGATTCGAGATCATAAAGATGAGCCAACGCTGGCGAGTATGTCCGGCGCTTCTCGGAGATGCGTGTCAAGGTCCCATCAATCTCCGACAACGAGGCAATCGAAGCTTTCATCTTTGGTCTTCGCTTCCGCATGATGCCCCTAAGGGACAAGCTCCTCTGCAAAAGACACAGAATCGATCACGGCGCTCCTAGCTACGCTAAAAATATGCGGACCCGATGATGCTAAAAAGATAATCATCGAAAAAAGCGGCAAGGGTTCCACGCTTTGACCACCCCCACGGCGATGATGACTACCACGGCAACCGTGGTCGGAACCACAATTTTGATCACCGCAACCCGGCATAGCGATTTTTCGCGACCACCGACGACCGTAATCAATGGCGTAATCGATTGTGGCGATTACACGGGAACAAGCGTGCTCGGGAAGATGACAACGAAGTCAACATTGTTAAAAAGGTGGCGGACATCGCAACTCACGAAGAAGACTACGCCAAAGCCTTTGAAAGGGACCCTAGCTCCATCCCAAGTCAAACCATACCATGGAGAATTGCCGTGTTCTCAAATCCATCTACTCGCCAGCGGGCTCTCGGATAAATCCGATAAGCCCTAACGGCGAGGGAAGCGGCGTAGCGAGGATAGCGATGATGAAGACACAGATCCCCATCACAAGTCACGTCAAGCCAACCGAGCTGGCGTCCACACCATCATTGGGGGCAAAGTGTCCGCCGAGACTAAAGCGAGAGCACAAGGCTGCTCGCTTGCGCTTGCTTGAGCGTGGCCAATGCCGACAACCTCGCCGGCCGATCCGCGGCTCCCTCCTTGGTCTCACCGCGAGATCTCCTTCAGCGAAAGGACCAATGGGCGCAATACACGAGCGAGGCGTTTTCCTCTGGTTCTCGATCCTTGTATCAACAAGGTTCGATTCGATAAGTCTTGATTGGCGGTGGCGATTCCATCGATATCTTTGTTCAAAACGGTTTGCCGGCCTTGAAGATAACCGGGCTAATCTTAAGCCATACGAGGCCGCAGTTAAGGGTGTTCTCCCGAGACGAGCTCCACACCTCGGGCAGATCACACTACATGCAATTTGGTACCCAGGCCACTTCCGCGCCCGACTCGTCAACCGTGGTCGTTGACTTTGAAGGCACCTACCATGCTATCCTTGGCGACCGGCGCTCACCAAGTTCATGGCTATACCTCACTCAGGTATTTGGTCCTCAAGATGCCCTCTTTTGAGAAGGGTTCTAACTCTCGGGGCAGCGTATCGTAGCTTGCACATGCGAGGATAGCGACTTCAAAATAGCAGAGGCTCACGACCTCTCTATTCGCATGGCCGAGACCATGCTCGGCGCCAAGCACTTGGAGATCCCAGAGCTCAAGGCCCAGGAGGTCATCATCCACTCAGTCGAGGCACATCGACAGGCTTAGGTGTTTCTATGCTTAGCTACTAAGATATGTATCCCTCTTGTACTTTTGATTTATTTCAATAAAGCTATTATGATTTCTCCGACTACTCTAATGTGTCACTTCGAAGTCTATCGTTATTCTAACTCTACCAGTTAAAACCGACCACCATTCTTTCTCGGGTTTTCAGAGCAGGCCCTGTCTTCGGTTCCCCCAATGCGTGCATGGGATCCGCTCTCTATGCTACGGGTGATCGGCAGGTGTTCTCTGGTTTGACTTGTGTGTTTCTACGTGTGCACAAGCTACGCACCTTGCACTCTGACCGCAAGTCAAACCAGGGCCGTACAAACCTTTCAGGATGACGTGTCGACTAAACCGATACAACTAAACAGAACGCCAACACGTTCTAACTTAGTTACATCAACATGATATCTGAGCTTAAACACGTTTTTACAAAACAAACAAGCTTATGTTGATATCTGATTACGTTATTACAAGCTTGCACGAAAAGGTCAAGTTTACAATAACCCAACTACATCTTCTTCTATAACTATAGCCTACACTATTGGTTTGGTCGGGGACCTTGTGGCGCTTCTTTGCTCATTGGGGCGACATCGTGCTCAGGTCTCGGGGACTCTGGCATTGATCGAGTGAAGAAGATGGCCCCGCCCGATGTCTGGCTGGTCGAGACCTTGAGCCGCCGATTGGCTTTGAAAATGACGGCGCTCTAGCTAACTTATTGTGGCGTTCCTTGTGCGGGTGGTGTCGCACCTCCACGAGTTAATATCACCAATTTTTTCGCCGACAAGTCCGGTGGACCATCAGTAGCTCCTCGGCTACATGTGATTTGTACTCACATACGGTTGAAGGCATTTATTTTTCTCATTTAGACCTTGCTACAAAGGCGATACACCGCCTACCCGGCAAGCTCGGAGACTTCGTCGCTTCGCTCCTCGACACATGCTCAGGGATTGCCTCGACCATTCTCGACCACAGCTCGGGGACTTCGTCGCTCGGCTTCTTGACTTGTGCTCGGGGACTGCCTCGACCACTCTCCGACCACAGCTCGGGGACTTCGTCGCTCGCTCCTCGACCTGTGCTCAGAGACTGCCTCGACCACTCTCTGGCCACAGCTCGGGGACTTCGTCGCTCGCTCCTCGACCTGTGCTCGGGGACTGCCTTGATCACTCTCTGACTACAGCTCGGGGACTTCGTCGCTCGCTCCTTGACTTGTGCTCGGGGACTGCCTCGACCACTCTCCGACCACAGCTCGAGGACTTCGCGTCTCGATTACATGCGACTGGCGACTCACATACAGTTGGGATATTTTTTCTCCTTTAGACCTTGCTACAAAGCTCATACCTCTCCTTCCAGCAAGTTCGGGGACTACATCGGTACGATGCACCTGATGGTGCATGTTGTATCTAATTAACAAGATTTTTTTAGACCCTGGCACCACGCGCCTACGTCACCTACTACCAGGCTCGGGGACTAAGTGGGCACACTTTACCTTGCGGTGAATGTGCTTATTTTATTCGACCCCTACGCTCTGACTGTTGTCCATAACTATTCCTGTATAGGGGTCACTTACATTTCTTTTCAGAAATACAAGTGGGCACACTTGATCAGGAAAGAAATATTTTTCTTTTTTCTTTAGAGCACCATGCATTCTTCGGACAACCGGAATCTTCGGCTATAACCGTGGTCTACTGCTCTCTTTGCTGACCAGAATACTGGTATATTTGCTTGGTCAATGTTTCAACCAGTTGGAGATGACATGAAGATAGATCGCGTTAGCCGAAGAATATCAAACGGTGTGTCATAACATAATACATGGTGCTCGGGGACTAGCTGTGGGAATATTAACCCCTATACCCTTACGGCTAGGTTTGGACCGTCCCGCACCAGGGGGTCCGACCCACCAGAAGACGACGCGCGGCCCAGCCGATGTGCTCGGAGTCCCGCGCAAGGAATTAAGGCAGACTTGAAGATCAAGCAAGATCCTAGTCGGTTAGAATAGAAATCCTTATCCAGCCACCTATGACAATTGTAACCGGTTAGGATTAGTTTCCAGATCTGTAACCCTGGCCCCTAAACTATATAAGGCAGGCAGGGGACCTCTCTCAAAACATCACAATCTCATTGACATGATAATACAATCGGATCACGGGACGTGGGTATTACGCCCTCATGCGACGAACACGGATAAAACCTCATATCATCTTGCGTCACCATCTCGTTAAGTAGCTTGCTTTTGTCCGTCGATAATTTACTACCTTGGGAATACCCCTAGATAGACTATCGACCATATTTAAATCGACACATAGCGGAGGAGGATAAGAGGAACACTAGAAAATCCTTTATATACTTGTGCAGCAGGCCCACGTACCAGACGAGTTCATGAGTTTACGGGCACGGGTAAGATTTTTTCGTGCCTGCAAATTTTTATCCACGACACAAAATCAAACCCGCACCCGTATCCGTGGGTACAAAATGATACCGATATACTCGTCCTAACAGGTTTTACCCGCGTGCCACTCGTTGCCATCCATAAATAACTGCTCCGTATTGCTTACTGGCTGCTGCGCGCCTCGGCTTTTGCTCCTCTGTCCCCCTCCGACGCGGCGGCGACCAGGACTCGCGGAGGAGCCAGAGAGCAGAGGAGCAGGGAGAGATCGACCAGGCCCAGGCTGCGTGGGGAGGGGTCCGGCCAATGGCTCCCAAGAGGGCGCTGTTCGTGGCGGTCGGCGATGGCGGTGCGCCGCCGCCTCCAGAGAAGCGCCAGCGGGCGGGAGCGGGACCGGCTCCCAGCAGGAGCAGCCCCGAGCTGCCGCTGCCGTCGCCACCTCCGTCGCCGAAGCACTTCCTCGCCATCGTCCTCGTCGTCCTCTTCTTGAAACGACCGTACGTGCCTTCTGTCTCCCTCCCTCCCTCTCTCTGATGTTGACGCCGTGGATGCCGCGCTCGTGCAGGAAGGGTCGGAGCACGGACAGGGTCCCCATCTCCCTCTCGCAGATCGGTCGCGTGGTGAGACCATTGCCAATTTGGCATCCTTCCCCTGCTTAGTTTGCTTCCATTTTCCTGCTGTCTATGTACTAGTACGCCGTACCAATTCAATCCGACCCGTGAATAGGGTTTTCATTGTTGGAAAACAAAATTTATCGGGGATCATGGATAAACGGGATAAACAGGAAATATCAGAAACATCAGGCCAAATTCAAATAAAATTCAACTTAAATTTAAGTAAATTCAAACAAATTTAAGCAAATTTTATATGAAAAAGATAGATTATTTCAAATCGGCACGTACTATAAACAGGAAATATCGAGACAATGTTTCTTCTAATTTCTGACTTTCTGCTCGCCTCCTTGCAGTTTATTTGTAGGCACTTTTAAATATGATTGCTGTTTTTTTTCCTACATGTGTTTCATCTCTATCAACTATCAGAGTTGTGTCATTCTTTTTCTTTTCTTTTTTGAAGGAACTGGAGGGGCTTTGGGCCCCTACAGGCATTTTATTGAAAGAAAAGAAAGCAGTAGCAAGAGTTGTGTCATTATGAAAGCATTCCATGCTTTGTTACTTGACTGAGACTTACTGTATTTGATATACTTGTATATATGATTGGACAGGTTCGGGACCAGATTTGTCGTTTCACCAATCCCATGTTTAGGTGATCCATCTACTCCATTTCCCTTTCCTTCGGTGTTTTTACAGTAGAACCCCTGAAATTTGAGGTTAGGGGGTTGACTTGCAAATTGGATGCAGCAAACTGGAAAAACTACTAGAAACCAAACTGGAAAGAATCGAGGAGCGGATTCAGGATCTCACCGACAAAGTGGTCTGGACTTATTTCCATGTTTACATGCATTCTCACTATTTCTGTGTCATTCTTTATTCGTTGTTGCTTGCCCAAATTTGGTCATGAGTGTCAAAACAAGATCTTTGTTTTGTTGCTTTCTTCCTTCTGATTTGACAGACACTCTTCACTTATTGTTGCTACTTCTTGCACCAAATGCAGGATAATATAACACGGCCCTCTCCTAACCTCCTCAATGATGAGCAATTCACGTATGCGGTCTTCTTTTTTATCCTGGTGGTCCAAACGTTAAAGTTTTTTACTATAGTATTAGTAAGTAACTAAACCTCAATTAATTATGCTGTCTTGTTTTTTTTTTTTTGTTTCAGACAAGAGGAAAACCAGGAAGGCACCAGTGCTGAACCTGCAGGATTGGCCACTGCTGAAGGCCAGAGCGAAACCACGAGCATTCAGCTGCGCTTCCTCAATGGACTGAAGACTCCTGTTTACCATGACGATGAGATAAAATCTGAGAGCAATACAGCCATTAAGGTTGGCATATTTAATGGGACAAGATGATCGAATCGGGCGGGCTTTCAAACCTGCAAATTGAGATCTTCGCCCTTGAGGTGACTTTCCTCATGCTTCCCCAAAGAGTTGGACTCTAAAAGTTCAATAAACATAGAGCCAATTCTCGGGATGGAAAGCGGAAATGTATTGGGAGGTGAAGGAACAAAAGCCCAGCAGAATGGACAGTGCGATCTTGGTAGCATCAAATTCACAGAAGGGTCGTGCAAGGCTCATGGCGGGAAGTTCATCATTGGGGCAAGAGTTTGTGAGGGTGAGGTATCTGGTGTCCAGGTTCAACAAGCCGTCATGAACCCTGTGGTTGTGCAGGATCTTGCAGAAACAAATGTAGGTTTGTTGCCATCCATATTTCTTTTTATTACTTGGCAAAGTTGAAAGACCATTTATGACATACAGCTATGGTCCAAGATTCATAGCATGCATTCAATTGTTCTTGGTTGATGTGTGACAAGCTAACAGCAAGTTTTTCTCATTTTCCTTTCTTTTTACAGCAAATGAAAAGAGTCATCCTCCAAAACTAAATGATAGCGTGCATCGTTTGGAGGAGATTGCCAAAGTTTACGCAGAAAGGCTGGAGAAGGAGAACATCTTTACTGTGGAAGACTTTTTAAAGGCTTTAAATAAGGACCCTCGTAACCTTGCCAAAGTAAACTCGACATTTATTTTATCAAATCTCAAACATTTTCTTTCATAACTCTCAGTCAGTTTATTTACATGACATCATCGCCATTCCTCGGTATGTAGATTCTCAGGGTAAACATGGAACACAAGCCCTGGAAGAAAATGACAAAGCATGCTAGAGAGTGCTCTCTCGGAGGCAGGCACAAGCTGAAACTACTTTTTTGCACAGAGAAAAACGTGAAGCTTTTCTTCAATTGTGTGTGCACTGTCTTGTAGAGGCAGAATTTTTTGGTGGTCCTTACACTCTGACAGATAACTTTAGTTTTGCTCAACAGGTACAAGTTTTCATGTGAACATATTTAGACTCGGTTGCCACTTTCTTCATCGAAGTGAACGTGTAGTGTGTGTTTGGCTGCAGGAGTTAGTGGACCAGCTGAAAAAGGGGGCTTATGCTAAACTGGATAAGCTTCCCGAGGATCATGTAATGACAGACAACTCTCCTAACCCAATTCATGTGGATAAATATACTAGTATTGGTGCTGGTCCATCCTATATGCCAATTGAACAGCCAAACTGTTCTGTTCGCCTCGCATCTGTTCATGGTTAGGGAATACTGGTTACTTCTCTTCTTATGCTGCAAACATACAGGATTTGATGGTACCCTGATACTCACGATTTTTCTTTGAATTGTTAGGTACGGCAGCAGCTGAAAGATTGAGCCATGATCGGATTGAGTCATCTTGTCCGAATGCATACAATGACCCAGTTCCCAGCTCCTTCATTCCTGATCACCCCAGCATGCATAACTATCAAGGTGCTTGTTTCAGTCCTGTAATTGTTTCCTTTTCTACAGAGCCCTCTATTTGTGTATCATCAAAACACACTATGTTATGCGATGCAAGGGCCCCTAATCTGGAGACATGCAGTATAGTACTATGCAATATGCCAATACCCTGATACAGAAAATCTTCTTTCAGGTGGGCGTGTTCCAGTTCTACCATTTGAAGGCTTTAGCCATGATGATCACTACAATGAGTTATTATCTGCAAATGCAAACAGTAATGATCCTGGCCCTAGTTCCTCCACTGCTGATCACTTCTTGACATATAACTACCGAGGTATTGTACCTTTTTCAGTCCTGAAACTGTTTTAATTTCTGCACAAGCTGCCTTGCACACCAACTTCTAATGCTCTGGTCTTTAGACACTTAGCAGATCAAGGGAACCTACTTTCTGTTCAGGAGCAGTTCTCAGCTTTCGTTAATGCTGCCCGTGTCAAAACCCCTTGGGCGCTTGAGTAATATGAGTCAATTTGTCTCCCCGAAGGCGCGAATTGGCATTCCAGCACTGAAGCAGACATTAACAAACACGGTGCGCCTATTTTGCAAAATTATCTTGAGGCAAACACCTGGCACAGAACTGCCTATCTTGCAGCTCATCATCCCTTTGCTTCCGTTTTCTCTTTTTCTGTTGCAGTGACACCAGGTTTAGATCATGTAGAAATAATCCAGAGTCAGCCCTTCTTGTTAAGCAATGGCACCTTATATGGACTAACTTCTGGCCACATCAATATGGCATTACCACCACAGCAACCTATAATCCCTGGTATGTCTCTCAAGCCTTTTCACCATCCTTGGAAAGGTACCTAGAAGGCACCACTGAAAATTGGTACTAAAACTCAGATACAAATTTGGTATCTCTTCCAAGGACAATTAAAACCTCATTCTCTCTTCTTTAACACCTCTCTCAATCTCAATAAAGTGGACAAGCCTATATCAGCAGGCGGTTCCAAGTATAAAATTGTTGATTTGGTAAAAAACATTCTGAAAAGGAAAATTGAATTTTCTGGTAATCACTGGACCAAGAATTTGGATTTTCCTGAACATGATGAAGAAAATTGAAATAGTGATCGAGGGTAAATTTTCGTATGCTTATTATCTTCGTGTAGTTTTAAGCAGCTGCTGATCCCTTGTCTGATACAGGTACCCCAAGATCAGGTCAAGGAGCACACAGAACCAGATGCAAGCTCCCTTGGCCCCCACCAATGACGCCTCAGTGGCATCTGCTTCTGCTCAGCAGGCCCTTCCACCACAACAGTGTTATCCCTGGGACGGATCATGGTGAATATTGGTACGGTGGTCCTACTCAGCCCATCATATCCGAGGATCAACAATGTTCCCTTCGCTATCCTAGTAGCTCAGCGTTGATCTGATTTCATTCTCAGGATCTCAGGTTATTGTGTTAGCAGCAAGATTGCCAAAAAACAATTAGAACGTAACGCAATGTAATGCGTTGTTTCAGAGTGTATTGTTTTGCTCTCTTGTGCTCGTAATGCAGAACATGTACTGTGGTGTGTGATTCAGCGTCACTGCTATAGAGCCTTTTACGTGTGTGCCATTATGAAAGATGGTGCGACCTACAGCTACTAAAAAAAGTTCGAGCATGCGCTGATGTCATGATGCAAAACTTTGTTGCTTTTCATGCCATTCCGTCCACTTTTACCATAGCGATGTCAAGCAGATGAAATGACCATGTTGCCCTACGGTGGGTCTGCATTTGTCGATCACCCAAATCTTCCTCTTTTTCTTCTCTTAGTGTAGCAGCGCTGCCCCGGCCGAATCGATGGCACTTTCGAGAGGCCGGCCAGCGATCTTAAAGGGCATCCCCGCCAACGTGACCGGCGCCCGACCACCGCTACCAATATGTGGGCGAGCTTAGCTCCTCCCGGCCGCCTTGGCGAAAGCTACGCCCCGGCGCCGTGGCGAACTCCGCCCGGCGCTGCGGCGCGGCTGCTGCCGCCGTCAGCGCGACCACTCCTACAACTTGACAAAGGCCCTTGGCGCCGTTACGGAAGGTGGGCGAAGCTAGGCAGCGGCGCGGTTGTCGTTCCTTGGCGTACACCACGGTCGCATACGACGTCGTCGTCTGGGCCTAGGCGTCATTCGCAGCCTGGCCCTTATCCATGGCGACGACGAGCTCCCCCTGCACGGCAAGTGTGGCGCCCGCCACCCGCGTCCGCGGGGCCGTCACCTGCGCAAGTGGGCGCCCGCCGTGCTGCTCGAAGCCACCGCGAGCGCCGGTCGAGCCCATGTGTGCCTGCCTCCACGATGCTTGGTGTCGAGTTCATAAACCGGAGGTCCCCGATGGGCCCGCTTCTCGTAAAAGCTTCGCCCAGTGACGGCATTACAAACAACGCGACTCTGGGCGGCCCGGAGATACCTAACGGCAGTGGAAAAGCGATCCGATCTCCGGCCAAAAGCACAGCAAGGAGGCGGCGCTTCGCTTCGAACCGACTCACCTTTCCGGCAGGGAATCGCCAAACCTACGCTTCTGGCTCTCCTCCAGCCGACACGGTCGGAGCCGGGTGAGGAATGACCGAATAGGGGACGCCCGCTTCGGTGAGGACCTAAGAATCGGCGAAGCGAGATAAGGCAAAGGCGCTCAAGTCAACCGCAATATCGAGGACCGTACCACCGCACACTGCGAGGGGCAGTACCCTTGAGCCATGCCGAAGGGTGCTTTGCAACCTTCCGGGCATGTCGAACCCAAATAGTGTTGTGGGGCGCCGACATTTGCCTTACTGATGTTGTGGGCGTCGTTATTTGACATACAAGGTGAACACGGTAAAGCACTGCCACATGCGTTTAACATAAATGCGGTGTAGGCGTAGCGAAATCTTGTACCCGATAAGCGTGGGCAACAAGACTACGTGCACACACTCTCTCTCTCTCTCTCACTTGTAAGGTCATCCCTTCACCTATAAAAGGGATCGCTCTCTCAACGGAGGGCGGTCATTCCGACTCTCTCTTTGCTAAGCTTTAGACATTTTGAGCACTCGAATAGCTCCATGACTCTAGAACTCTAAAGCTACACGAGCATACGGTCCAATACTTAGTGCACGTTGGAGCTCTCGTCACTCTTAGCCCTTGGTTCAGAGCCAGCCCGGACCTTTAACACCCTCTTCTTATTCCCACTCGTTTATAACCCCACAACAAACTTGAGCACACAGGCTCAGGAATAAAGTCACCGACCAACTAGAAGCTCACGTAGACACGTTGCACGAACGATATAAACCCTGTGTCATTGAGTGCTAGGCCACATCCGATCACAACGCACGGCAAAACTACAAATATTTACTTGGTCACTTTTCGCACCGACAGTTGGCGCCGTCCGTGGGGAGGATGTTGTGCGTTCACGCTTTTGGTCATCGGATGGCCCACCTTTCCACCATCTTCAGCATGACGGGTGAAAGCTCTAGTTTGGTTTTGGTGAATTGATGAAACCCTAAGTGCTAACCTAGTTTATCAAAGTGATCATGAGATAGATAGCACATTCAAGCGGTGAAGCAAATGAAGATCATGATATGATGATGGTAATTCCATGATGATGATCAAGTGCTTGGACTTGGAAAAGAAGAAAGAAAAACAAAAGGCTCAAGGCAAAGGTATAAGTGGTAGGAGCCATTTTATTTTGGTGATCAAAACACTTAGCGAGTGTGATCACATTTAGGTTTGATAGCCATACTATTAAGAGGGGTGAAACTCGTATCGAAATACGGTTATCATAGTGCCACTAGATGCTCTAACTCATTGCATATGCATTTAGGATCTAGTGGAGTGCTAACACCCTTGAAAATATTTGTGAAAATATGCTAACACACATGCACAAAGGTGATACACATTATGTTTAGCATTTGGCAGCAAGGGTAAGAAACTTCACCGACGGAGTGTCTTGCGTAGAGTGTGGACGGTCAAGCGGTGCCACCAGCATAACCTTGTCACAGAAAAAAGCGGGGTTTCACGGAGAGTGCACGGACGGCGGCCTCAATTGGACCGGTGAGTCCGGTCGGTGGAAGCGATGAAGATCTCTGGCGTCGGTCTTCGACCGGACGTTGGGTCACTTCATGACCGGACGCTGGCGGGGTGCGTCCGGTCCTATTGATGTGGCAGTGCGCAGAGGAGACAGTGAGTGACCGGACGTTGGGTGAGTGCGGTGGGCATGACGGACGTGTCCGGTCGCGAGTGGAGGCTTCTTTGGAAATGGCCGGACTGGTGAAAGCTCTAGTTTGGTTTTGGTGAATTGATGAAACCATAAGTGTTAACCTAGTTTATCAAGTGATCATGAGATAGGTAGCACACTCCAAGTGGTGAAGCAAATGAAGATCATGACATGATAAAGATGATGGCATAGTGATGATCAAGTGCTTCGACTTGGAAAGAAGAAAGAAAAAAAAAAAAGGCTCAAAGGCAAAGGTATAATTTGTAAGAGCTATTTTGTTTTGGTGATCAAGATACTTAGAGAGTGTGATCACATTTAGAATTGATAGCCGTACTATTAAGAGGGTGAAACTCATATCGAAATCACGGTTATCAAAGTGCCACTAGATGCTCTAACTCATTGTATATGCATTTAGGATCTAGTGGAGTGCTAAACCCTTGAAAATGTTTGTGAAAATATGCTAACACTTGTGCACAAGGTGATACACTTTGTGGTGTTGGCACATTTACAAAGGAGGTGGTATTTGTAGGATTGGTAAGCGCTTTCGGAAAAATGGAATGCCTATTTTCTATTGTGCCGGATGCAAATTCTTGTGGTTGGCACATTGGAGCAAGGGTGGAGAAGATAGAAGTGAGAATAGTGCTGATGCCAGCGTCGGTCCAGTGACCGGACGCTGAATCCAAGCACCGGACGCCGATTGACTTTGCATCCGGTCGCGTTATTTGTCGATGCTGATGGCTAGGATTTACCACGGACGGCTGGGCTCTGTCCGGTCGAGGTGGACAGACGCGTCCGGTCGAGGAAAACCAGGTTTTACCCTTCTTATCTTTCGATCGGACGCTGAGGTTCCAGCGTCCGGTCAGTTTTAACCAGAGCGTCCGATCAGCGTCATAGCCGTTGGAATCTGACGAACAGCGTTTTAAGCCGATGACACGTGGCGTCCATCTATGGACCGGACGGCCGAGTCGAGGTCCGGTCAAGTGGACGGGAAGCGTCCCGGTCCGAGAGCGCTTGAGTACCCAGTGAAGGGTACAACGGCTCTATTCGTTGGGGCTTCTATTTAAGCCCCATGGCCCGGTATGGCTCACATCTTTGGCCATTTTCATTGACATAGCAACCTTGTGAGCCTAGCCAAAGTTCTCCCACTCATATACATCATTGATTCATCATCATAGTGAGATTGGGAGTGAATCCAAGTGCATTGCTTGAGTGATTGCATCTAGAGGCACTTGGTGATTGTGTTTCACTGCTGGATTTAAGCTTGTTACTCTTGGTGGTTGCCGCCACCTAGGCAACTTAGAGCAGCAAGGATCATTGAGTGGAGGAGGTGATTGTCTCCGACTCGATCATGGTGATTGTGAGGGTTCTTGACCTTTCCTCGGCGGGCGCCAAAAGGTACTCTAGTAAATTGCTTGTGGCTTGTGTGATCCTCATCTTGTGTTGGTTGTGCGGCACCCTATTGAGGGTTTGGCGAGTGATGCCAATCGGTAGCGTGAACCTCCAAGTGAGTGAATCGCCACAACGAGGACTAACTTGCTTGGCAAGCAAGTGAACCTCGGTAAAAATTATTGTGTTCATCATTTGATTCCGAGGTGATTGGTCTACATTGGTATTCATTATTGTGATTGATTGGTTCCTACCACTACACGGCGGTATAACTCTCTTGCTCACTCTTACATTACCGCAAACTAGTTATCAAGCTCTTTAGTGTAGCTAGTTGTGAGAGCTTGTTTGTTTGATTAGTGTTGCTCTTTAGTTAGTCTTTGAGAGCACACTAATTTAGCTAATGTCATAGCTATTGTGTGGACATACACTATTCGAAATAGAATTGTGGTAGGTGGCTTGCATTTTAGTAGGCTAGCACAACACTCGCTTCACCCATAAAATTGTCTAACACATTTTGTTAAGTGTTGTTGTAGAATTTTATTAGGCTATTCACCCCCTCTAGCCATTAGGACCTTTCAAATTTGGGCTCCTGCGTCCGGTCATGATCAGCCAGACGCGTCCGGTCGTATTTGGAACCTTCTTTGGAAGATTCTTTGGGCGTTGGGGGTCCTACGTCCGGTCGTGGCACCTTGTGCTACGTCCGGTCATCATTTGACCGTTGAGATTGGGCACTCGGTATTTGAAGAGAGGGATGACGTGGCAGCCATCATTGACGAGAACATTTGGCGAGGGTGTGTCCGGTCGATCTCGGCCGGAGCGTCCGGTCACCCAGTAGTGCCCAGTGAAGGGTACAATGGCTCTATTTTGTGGGGCTTCTTTTTAAGCCCTATGGCCGGCTCTAGCTCACCCTCTTAACCATTTGCATTGACATAGCAACCTTGTGAGCTTAGCCAAAGCCTTCCAACCCATCTCCATCATTGATTCATCATCTTTGTGAGATTGGGAGAGAATCCAAGTGCATTGCTTGAGTGTTTGCATCTAGAGGCACTTGGTGTTCGTGTTTCGCTTCTGAGGATTCGCTTTGTTACTCTTGGTGGTTGCCGCCACCTAGGCGGCTTGGAGCAGCAAGGATCGTCGAGCGGAGGTTGGTGATTGTCTCTGGCTCCGATCGTGGTGATTGTGAGGGGTTCTTGACCTTTCCTCGGCGGAGAGCCAAAAGGTACTTTAGTGAATTGATCATGACTTGTGTAATCCTCATCTTATGTTGGTTGTGCGGCACCCTATTGAGGGTTTGGCGTGTGATGTCAATTAGCGCGTGAACTTCCAAGTGAGTGAATCGCTACAACGAGGACTAGCTTGCCGGCAAGCAAGTGAACCTCGGTAAAAATCATTGTGTCATCATTTGATTCCGAGGTGATTGGTTTTCATTCTTGTGTTTGATTGGTTCATTCCTCGACTTGGCAGTATCACCATCTTACTCTATCTCTCTTTACATTACCGTAAACTAGTTGTCAAGCTCTTTTGTATAGCTAGTCGTGAGAGCTTGTTAGTTTGGTTAGTGTGGCTCTTTAGTTAGCCTTTGAGAGTACACTTAGTGTAGTGACATAGCCATTGTGTTGATAGAGACTATATAAATTAGAATTGTGGTAGGTGGCCTCAAGAGCTGCCAGCAGGAGCCCAACGAGTCCCTGCGGGATTACATCTGTAGGTTCTCAAAACAATGCAACTCCCTTCCTGATGTCGTTAACGCGGACGTCATCAGCGCGTTACTCTCCGGAACAACCTATGAGTCCTTAATCCACAAGCTCGGCTGTCTGAAGCCCCGTACCACCCGCGACCCGCTCGACATCGCCACAAACCATGTCTCCATGAGGAGGCGGTCGAGCCGGTCTTTAGCGAAAGGCGGGACAAGGACAAGGCCAAGCGTGAGGGCTCCTCTACGCAAAAGGGAAAAAAGAACAAGAAGGATCGGCGCCGACCGACCAACTCCGCTTTGGTCACCGAGGTCGATCGTGCGAGCAAGCAGCCCCAGCAGGGTCAGCTTGACCACCTTGACAAGCTCATGGAGAGCCCATGCACCAACCACGCCTACCCCGTCAAGCATCTTTACAAGAACTGTGAACTCCTCAAACGCTTTCTCTGACAGAATGAAGCCGGGCGAAGGAAGGAAAGGGCAAGGAGGCGTTGGCCAAGAAAGGAGTAGCTTGACGAGCAAGGATGGTGACGGCGGCCTAAGTTGTATGTTCGATTACACATCATTTGGTTGGTTTCAGGCTAATAAACCGGTAGTCTTTGGTTTGTTGTGAGAGAAAAATATTGTATCATGGTGATAAAGTGTGGTTGAAACCAACAAGAGAACGAAATTTGGTCGGGAGGTTTCTTTATGTGATGTTTACTGTCTTGTAAATGTAAAACTTACCCTCTTGCGGGGTGTTTGGTTCTTTAGTCGCTCTTAAAATTCATGTCATATCGAATGTTTAGATACTAATAAGGAGCATTAAATATAGATTAATTATAAAACCAATTACATAGATGGAGGCTAATTTGCGAGGCGAAATTTTTAAGCCTAATTAATGCGCCGCTAGCACATGTTTCTTTGTGCACCGCGCGTTGTCAAATCATGGACTAATTAGGCTTAAAAGATTTGTAATTAGTCATATTTAATCTCCATGTATATATATCAAGCATTTTATGTGACAGGAATTTTAGAGCTCATATAGAATGTGACAAAAATTTTAGGAGCACCTGTACCAAACAGGCCCTTGTGAAAAGCTACAGCAGCTGCGTCTTTTTTTATTATAAAAAAGGTGACTTTTTTCTTCGCTGAGTGGTGAAGTGTGCAAACTGGGATGGGAACTAACACGAGTGTTGGCGGACACCATACTCCGGCGAGCCCCGTACCACCGAACTCCAAAATCCCAAATTGCAGTCTCCGCTGCATAGTCCGCTCCTCTCCCACAGCCGGCCGACCGTGCGGATGGCATCGATGTCGGCGCGACGCCGGACGCGACGGCGGTCCGCCAGACGGCCGGCGGCGCAGGCCGTCCTCCCTGACGAGATCTGCGAGGAGATCTTCCTGCGCCTCGACCGCCGCGTCGTCTCCGAGCGCCGGTTCCTCCGCCGCTTCCGGTCCCGCCGCTCCCCTGCAGTCCTCGGGTTCATCAGTATGGACAGACACCAATTCGTCCCCGTCGATCCTCCCCACCGCTCCGCTCCGGAAGCCCGCGCGCTCGAGCAAGCCGCCGACTTCACCTTCTCCTTCCTTCCCAACCCCAGTGCCAGTGGGTGGTGCTTTCGCCACGCCCTCGGTGGCCGCGTCCTCCTCGGCGGGCGCACCTCCACCAAAACCCAATTCGAGGATTTCCTAGTCTGCGACCCCCTGCGTCACCGGTACGTCAAGATTCCCCGCATACCCGACGAGCTAATGGCCTCCACCCCACGCACTGGTACCACGCATTTGTTACCCGTTTTGGCTCCAGCCGGCGAGAATGACGAGGAGGAATCGTTCAGAGTTATCTGCACTGTGCACCTCAAAGACAAGGTCGTTGCTTTCGTCTTCTCTTCCTGCAACCAGACGTGGCGAGGTATTATTAGCGGGCCAATTACAAAAATGGGACTAAGAAACATCAGGACACTGGACCCACGTTCATACATACTGCGCAGACGGATCCATTTGTTATCCACCGAGTGTCAACATGATCAAATTTTCTCATTATTAGCACCATCTGTTTTCCTAATGGCTATAAATTTATTGAAAACATGCCCTACTATGCGCACGGCTGCTTGTACTGGATGTTCTATGGCAAGGGCTATTCGCTAATGCTTTGATACAAGTGAGATGAAATTCTCCAGCATTGACCTCCCATTCGTGTATCCTTATATGACAATCGTGTATCCCATGTGTATCACTCTTTTGAAAAGTGAAGTATTTGACCCTTCCATCACATATCAATTGGATATAGTGAATCCAGAAAAGGCTTAATTAGATATTGTTCTTTTTTTGTCTAAAATTAGATATTGTTCTATGTCCATCGATATGTGCTTTTCGCGATCTACTTTCTATACTAGTTTGGTGATGAATTTGACATTAATAGCATATATAAAAACTATCAAGTTTGATAGACTTATTATACTGATTTTGTTTTTGTTTTTGTTTTGGTGTACTCTGTATGCTGTAGCTAGCACCTGAATACTAGCACAGGCAAATTTGTCTAGCGCCTGAATACTAGAGCAGAAATTTGTGTCTGTTTTTTCTTGGAAAAAATGCACTGGGTTAAATCATTTGTATACCCCCCTTTTGATAGATTTTAAATTTGCATTAACGTACAGAAGGAATAGCTTGTTTTTTCACATGCTCAAGAAGATATTCAACTAACTCTGCTCGAATCCCTCTTTGATTATTCTAACACTGTATTCTTTGGTAGGTCTACTCTCTTGACTTTGAGGTTACAGAGCCGCATGGTTGGGAGCATCTGAATGAAAGATTAGCCATGTCATGCAAGACGTTAACAGCTACTAGAACTCTAGCAGTGATGGCGTTCATCTGTAGATGATCGGCTCCAGTGTCTTATTTCTCCTGTTTGTCCTTTTCCCCTGATTTGTTGAGGTTATATGGTACAATTCTGAAGACAAATAATTAGATTCTACCATTTGCTTCTGAGAATCATGCGATCTGTCTTAATATCTATCTATATTATCGTCTAAATCTGATGGTGGATCACAACTGATCATTTGTCCCCGCTGCTTTTCTGAACTATTGCTACACATCACAGAGGGTTTGTGCATGGCAAAGCGTACCAGGAAAGCAATTATGAGCCCTTGTAATTACTGATTATTTTCTTCCTGGAATGTGTGATTCTCAAGGGCGATTTGTTCTGGAACCATCTCCAAAGTTTGACATGTAAAATTATGGATTGTATTAATCCGTCAGGCAAGAAATATTGCTGCCGGAACATATACTTTCCTGTAACATCGCTGCTGGAACTTATACTTTCCTGTCCCAGATGTTACGGCTGACTATATACATCGCTAACTGTGGCTCCATGCTTCATCCATGATAGTACTATATATATCTGCTCTGCATAGATCGTGTTACAGTCACAGCTCCTTTGCATTGTGCTGTACAACTTTGCTGAAATTTGTGTGTTCTATACATTTTTTTCCCTAGCGCCTCAAATACATTTAAATGTATTTTGTTAGTGCAATTGTGCTTTCGTGTGACTATCAAAAGTTACATGCCACAGTAGACATTCTACAAGTAGAAAACGGTGACCAAATGGATTGGTGCACAAATACATTAAAAAAAAACAGTAACACTACATATTGGCATGCTTATTGTGATGATTAGATCCCTTGCATGAATGGCCTGCTAATGGCCCATCAAGAGTGATAGAAGAGACTGGTGATCCCTTCCCAACCCAAGCACGCACCAAACTCAATTATGGCTTTAGGATACTCTTGTTCAACAATCGCATTTCGTCTCGCCTCAATTCTTGATTCTGCTTTTGCGCATTTTGGGTCCTTTATATAACATGGTAGTAATAGTACCTTTATATATGTGGTACATAAAGAACCATTTATTAATTTGCTGCGAAAACAGTGGGGTCAATTTAAACACGCAATATTTTGAACCTTGCCTGAAAAAAATGAATAATCTGGAAAAGAAAACAAAAGCAAGCATCTCGGCGCTAGCATGTAGGGTCGTCAGTCGTGGTTCGTGTAATGCCATGCCAGAGACGCTCCTCGTCGTCATGATGCAAAGCATGCAGTTCGATGAGAGGCAGGCTTTCTTTGCCGGTCAAAAGAGGACGAGGACACCGGTCTTCAGGTAAAAAAAAAGAAAAAGAAAAGACAAGCATCATCAGCTAGCTATTGGATGGGCTGTGTGCCATCATTCCGTTGGCCATTTTGCATGCTAGCTAATCAGCCCCTGTGATTCTGAAGGTGCAAGAAATACTGTAGGAATGTTCTTGTTGAAATCATGTCCCAATGCCCCTACTGACGTGACATTGTTAATAAGATCACGTTCAGTGCCCATAATTATGAAATTTCTACCTGACGTGACATTTTAAGTGGACTAAGCAATGGAAGATCAGCACGTGTAGAATATGGGAATAATTTATCTGGAATATTCATTTAAGAAATTCCTTGTATGCCATTTTCTCCGGATAAGTGCTCCAATGTCAGCATAAATATTCATTTTCTGCAACAAATACATACGCACCCTCCTACAGTTACAATTCTTTTTTTTTTCTTCACAGCAGCTTTTGTAATCTCAACTGTACCAGTATATATCTGGGATAGGGAAAGAGAAATGGATTGAGATAAAAGGAGGTATGGGATAGGTATAATTTTTCTATAAAAATAAATTAATTCTTATAAAATTTGCATATGATTTTTGTAAAATTTTTACGTCCCAAAAGATCCTACATTGGCGAAGATATCACCATCCCACTTACGATATAGGGCCTGTGCGGAAAGAAGTAGCCCTGGTATGTTAGATGTTACGGTTCGTGAAGGTATGCAGTATTCTATTGACATACGGTTTATCTGATTCGGCGTCCTCTGCATTCTTGTTGCAGACATAGCCCTGTTGGTTTTTAGGTGATAAGGCGTGGTGAAAATCTTATTGGTGATTTGTTGTAAGAAAAAAATATTCGTTGACTGAAAAAATACTTAAGAGAACAGAGCGCGGAATGGCATGCCTGCCTCGCCGGATGGGCCCCAAAGGGCCAAGGATCAGACTGGAACACTGAAAAAGATACTTGTAATTAAAAAAAACATATCCATATCCCTACTTTCTTGTGTTCAGAGCAAGTTGCGGCACACAAGTGTTCCTCTTTGCCACAGCACCGTAGTCAGATCCCATCTGCTGTGCGTACAAAGTGCAGCAGTGGCCCTGTTTGGCCTTACACCTGCCAAAATGGCAAAATCTTTCATGCTGAAACGAGTGGAAAATCACAAGGGGAAAAAATAGAGGAGATCTACCAGTACTGCATTTTGTAGGCCAAGCTGGGAGTACAAAAGCATCCCTCTTCAGATCATTCATGTCTTTCACCAACTTTCGCCATGTCTTGTTGCTCCAAAAAGCTCTTGCAGGCTTTTACCAGATTCTTCACTACTGGCTGCTGAAGATCCAACAAGGCAACAATACAATTAATACAGTGATCGAGCCCCAGCTACAACTGCGAAACAACCTTCGCGGCTTCGCCAATCAATGCTGAGAGGAGCAGCTCGTCATTACTCAAAAAATAAAGATCCGATTTTCTAGAGTGTAAATGTGATCAATATTACTTAAAAATTACATTTTACCCGCGGCTTCGCCAATCAATGCTGAGAGGAGCAGCTCGTCATTACTCAAAAAATAAAGATCCGATTTTCTAGAGTGTAAATGTGATCAATATTACTTAAAAATTACATTTTACCCCTATCGAAACCTATTTTAGCATGTAATGATTGGATTTAAGAAGTAGAGAAAGTAACCTACTGTACCTAGGTGGACCATACTTATAAGTGCACTTACCTTGGGGCGGAGAGCTGATATTTCATATAAAATTTGTAAAATATAAAGTTATAGATGGTATTGATAATTGCAGCTTTGTATAGACTATGTCAACATCTCAAGTCCGTTTGAAAATTTTAAATTTGAATTTCAAATTTTATGAATTAAAAAGAACACGCCATTCTAAATAGTTTTAAATCAAAAAAATTATCATCTATAAAGTTGTAGATCTCATTGAGCTCTACTTTTTTTATATAAAGTTCATCTTCATCCGACTTTATATACAAAAGTTATGAATTCTTTTAGATAACTATTAAAGCTTATGGAGAAAAGCAAGGGGCATAATACCATTTTTAACTTCTCTTTCATCTCCTAAAAATTATTGTTTTAATACATATAGTGCCTAAGAGCTAATTATTCTCTAACAAAAAATAACATTATGTGGCGTTTATCACCCAATATCTCACTGTAAAATAATATTAAGTAGTGTCTATCACCCAATATCATATTCTAACAAAAGAATATTGCAAACCTTCTCGATTTACTCACATGGTGTCATGAGTATGTAGGGGGTGTTTGGTTCCTACAGGGAAATTTTAGTCCCTATCTCATCGGATGTTTGGATATATGCATGAAGTATTAAATATAGACGAAAAAAATAACTAATTGCACAGATTGTGGCTAATTTGCGAGACGAATTTTTTAAGCCTAATTAGTCCATGATTTGACAATGTTGTGCTACAGTAAATATGTACTAATGGTGGATTAATTAGGCTCAAATAAATTCGTCTCGTAAATTAGCCTCCATCTATGTAATTAGTTTTATAATTAACTCATATTTAGTTCTCCTAAATAGCATCCGAACGTTCGATGTGACATGGACTAAAATTTAGTCCAGGAAACATAACACCCCCTTAGAAGTTACTGAACCAAAGAGGGAGCAGGATAAAAAAGAACCGTCATTTCATCTGCCCCTGTCCTCCCAATACAGGAGTGTACATACTGGTAGGAGTAGTTAGCAACAACATTAGTGCACTGCTGGTAATTAGGCTGGAACCTGCTGGAGGATGTGAGTTTTTGGGGACACTCGGGGCATGTTTAGATTCCAAAAGATTTTGCGCAGTATTCGTCACATCGAATCTTACGGCACATGCATGAAGTACTAAATATAGACGAAAAAAAACTAATTGCACAATTAGATGAGAAATCGCGAGACGAAACTTTTGAACCTAATTAGTCCATAATTAAACACTAATTACAAAATACAAACGAAATGCTACAGTAAACCAAAATCCAAAAATTTTTGATCTAAACGGGCCTCAGCTCACCTACCAGCAGATGTGTCTCATTCATTCGTATCAGATGTGTGAAGCAGCCACAGTGGAGACAGACCAGTGCAGTGACCAGAGGAAACAGGGGTATCACTATCTCAGTACCAGATTCTTGTTGGTTCCCTACTGTTAATCTTCCTCATTAGTACAGTACTACTTATCATCCAGATTCAACAACTTTTGAACTGCAATTACAAACATGGCAATTTGTAAGGATGAATCTTGTGAAACCAAGAAAAGGATTGTGTGCTCTTTGCTACCATCACCGAATTTCGAGCGACACGCTGAACATCAGCTTTCTACATTAGGGGAAAATGGCATGAAATGCCCAACGACCTTGGAAAGGAAAATTAGCCCAACACCTTGCAAGCATCACACCTTGAAAGCATGTATGCAACGAAGGCCCTTTTTTTTGCAGGGCTCTCTCTGCCTCCGGCTCCATGCTATGGTGCCAGAGGAGCCAGAGTCAGAGGAGCCAGAAAACGTGCCTTCTTCGAGCTCCTAGTTCATTTCACGAGGAGAGAGAAATGGAACGGCTCTATATTACGGTAGCTAGTTCAGGAGAAGCCGGAGCCCCAGAAGCCTTGCCAAGTAGTCTCAAACAAAAGCACAGTCCGTTCGTTTCGCTAAAAAAACAAGCAAAAACACTGTTCTGGTTGATTTATTGTGAGAGAAAAACACTGTTCCGACCAAAAAAGACGGATTATAAGAGAAGCGGACCCGGAGCACGAAATTTCAGTTCCTGGTTCTTGCCATGTCAACCAAATAACTCCAGCCAGAACAAAGACACTTTTCAGCACAAGACCAACATTTTCAGCAGACATCAACACTTAAAAATACATCACTATAAGATTACTAAAAAAAAGAGATCAAACAGCCTACAACAAAAAAAAAAGACAACCTTTTTTTATCCCAGCCACTCACTTAACACTAAGGTGGTGTTTGGTTGGCCTTCCTAAATTTTAGTCGCTGTCCTATCAAATATTTGGACACATGTATGGAGTATTAAATATATACTAATTATGAAACTAATTACATATTTTACGACTAATTTGCGAGACGAATCCTTTAAGCCTAATTAGTCCATGATTTGACAATGTGGCGCTATAGTAAACATGTGCTAATGATAGATTAATTAGGCTTAAAAAATTCATCTCGTGGAGTACTAACAGATTATGTAATTTATTTTTTTATTAGTATCCGAACACCTCATACAACATTCTTCCGATATAACTCCTAAATTTTAGTCACTTGCCAAACACCACCTAAGCTAAGCCATGAACAGTTGAGCTCCAAGAAACGGCCGCTCAAGGAGAAGAGCAGGAGAGGTGTTCACGGAGGTGGGGTTGGCGACGGCATGCGTCACGGTCTGGCCTTGCCGGCGGCGGCGAGGCCGTGCATGGCGCCGAAGCCGCGGGAACCGAGCCCGAGGCAGCCGAGGAGGAGGCCGCCCTGCCGGTACGGCAGGAACGTGCGCCGCCGCATCTCCTCCGCCTCTGCGCGCCGGGCCTCGTACAGCCGCGCGTGCGCCGACCTCCTCGCCCTCCCGCGGCCTCGTGATGCCGCCGCCGGGGACGGGGAGGGGTTCCTCTTGTGCGCCGGCGGAGGCGACGAGTTGGAGGGGAGAGGTGGGTGCTCGCCGCCGTCGGACTTGCTCCGGTGGAGGATGCCCTTCAAGAAACCCCACCTGCGGTAGTAGCTTCTTGACGACGACGAGTAGGAAGCAGAGGACGCCGAGGACGACGACCGCGACGCCGACGGGGGGCCGCCGCTGCTGGCTCCACGGACTTCGCCGCCGGAGCAGGCGACGAGGACGGCGAGCCAGTGGGTGAGGAACGGGGAGAGGGAGCGGTACCGGCGGTACACGGACCGGCTCCGGAGACGGCCGCGCTCGTCCGCCCCGGCCGCAGGCGCCGGCGGCTCCGAAGGCGGCTGTGACGGCGGGTTGCCGGCGGGGACGTCTCCGTCGAGCGGCGGGAGCGCCTGCGGGCGGAGCAGGAAGGACGCGAGCCGCATTGGCCGGATCTGGCCGTTGTGGAAGAGCTCGTCGGCGGAGGACATCGCCGCCGTGGCGGGAGACGGACAGCGCGAGGAGAAGTCGAAGTCGAATCCCAGCTCGCAGCCGTCGTACTCATCCGCAGTGCCGGGGCCGCCGCGCGCGGGGCTCGCCGGTGCGCTGTAGAAGCAACCGGCAGCGGAGAACGACGGGTCGCGGGCGGGGCTGGACGGCGCGCTGTAGAAGCAACCGGCAGCGGAGAACGACGGGTCGGGGCTGTTCGTTTCGCTGAAAGGGGTCAGGCTGAAATGCGCGCTGATCTCTCGTGAGAGAGAAAATACTGTAGCAACCGGATGACGGTCGGGACTGGACTGCGCGCTTACAAAGGGTGTGGAGCACGCGCTTTCGTCCTCGCTTGCGCATCCCACGCCGCCGCCGATGGCAATGTGGTCGCCGGAGCTGGCGGCCATCTGGCCGGCGAGGGGTGGTGGCCAATGCCAATGGGATGGTGAGACACTGAAGTGAAGAGGATTTTAAAGCGCGGAATTTGGTTGGATGCTGGATACTTTCTGATTTGCCCCCCTGAAAACATGGAATTCTTATTCATCTTGATATAGACCCCTCCTCCAAAAATTTGATTTTGAGATGAGATAAACAAATACAGGTAAAAACATATTCAAATATGTCTGTTTGAAACACCCCGGCTCTACTCTGAACTAGAGGGATAAAATGGTAAAGATATCCAAATCGAGCTATATATTCTTAGATAATTATGTTATAAAATACGTGGTTATGCACGTTTGCAAAAAAAAAAGTCATAATATTCGCATGCATGTCTATTAATGCTGCCTACTATTGTGTACAGGACAACTAACGTCATGAAACCTCCAGTAAGGAAGCCTAGAGAAAACGCGAATGAGCACATGCAGCTGCATTGAGTATCACTTAAACACCGAAAAAGGAGCTAATGACTAGGGTCATATTTGTTATAGTTTATAAGCTGTTTATGACAAAAATAAACTGAGACTAAAAGCCAAACATCATGTCTTTTTACAGTTTTTTCTAGCCACGTTTCTGCACACAACACATATTTGTACTAAAATGCAGAAGTTGAGTCAGCACTTATTTTGACTGCGTTTTCCTTTATATATGTATAGTTTTTCAGAGAAGTTTTAACGCTATGCCAAACAATACCTAAACAGCTTCCAAATTATTAAAAGATTATTAACATGCATGTTTTTTTCCAAACTAAGTACTAGATATAAAAGATCCAAATGAAGCTCTCAACTAGTAGCTTAGCTAATATATAGCCCCGCTAATAAAGTTATTATCCAGTTCCATTCTGCTAACAACAATTTTTTTTTGATAACTGGCAACTTTATTATTAACAGCATTTGCTAATGGATCTGAAAAGGGTATTATAATTAAACACAAGGCCTTTCAGAAAACATGATCGGAGCTCCATCGTGGAACCATTCATTCATCATGAAGCAAATTTCAAAATAAAAAAAAAAATCATTATGAAGCAAATTCAGTCATTGTTGCCATGAAGCATGCATGCATGCCACACACACGAAGCATCTCGGCTTCATTCTTCTAATCTTTTTGTTCAGAGATCGCCCCGGCCGCTTCGTGTTCGTTCTCGCAATTGGGCCCGTTTGACCAGGCTCTACCCAGCTCCAGCTCTCACCCTGTAGCAGTACTGTACAGTCACTGTGAAGGAGCCCGGCGGAGCCTACCCCCACGCAGCTCCGGCGGCTCCTCTTCATTTGCTGCTGTTTCGAGACGGAGCCGGAGCCATTTCCCCAAGAGCTACGGGGACGCACAGGATCCTACAGTGCTCTACAGTGCCATGGCAGAGGGAGGCGGAGCCATGAGCCGCACCAAACGGCCCCGCAATATGAATCGGCTTCGTTCAATTCAAAATCTCTCGGCTTCTGAGACTTCCCGTCGCATGCAATGCACTGGGGCCCGAAGGCTTGTTTCATGCGCGCAAGCTAGCTTCTCTTCTCTGACGGCACGGGGGCGTACTACGTATGTTCGTACGCTTTATTAGGTAGAGTCGTCACTGAATTCTGTTACCTACTACGGTTCATGTCTCTTTCATGTGACTATACGGGCGCATACGTATGTTCATTCTTTCAGCTTTCAGGTATCTATCGCGGGCACATGCTTGGGCATGGATGGCCAATGCATGCGTGTATGGAACAATGGAAGTAGCAGTGCAAGCTCACAACATACAACGCGAGCATTTTTCATGCACTCATCATATGATACTACATACTAGTCATTGCTGCCCACGCTTCGCTGTAAATGATGTGTTTGGTATATGAAATTTTTTGAGAAATATGGCTCATATGTCTAATATATTTTCTGATCGTATTGGTACGAAAGGTTGGTCTCAATATTGTAAACAAACATAGAGGTTGGTTGTCATTACATGGTGCTTATTCTAGGTCAGCAAATCAATGACATGTTAGTGGGAAAAAGTATTTGATGGAGTTGGACTCAAGCAACTAACACACTTAGATTTAAAGCACAACATTGGCTAGGATTATATTATAGGTGGAAACAGCAAAAACCACAACACAAGTACTTCTCCTAACGCGAGGGTTTATAAAAAAAAAGAATTAGGATCGACTCCCCGTAGGCGAAACTACGACACATTTCGTAAATCTGGAATTACACGAAGGCAGCACCGTAACCTATTAACCAGGCAACTACTACCAACTTACACACCGTGAAGGCGGTGGGGTCATAGACCACAGAATAAGAGGAGTATTGCGAGGAAAAATGCAAACAACAAAGGTTCCCTTCATAACAAGGGACAAGGAATTCAAATCCAACGACGGATTTGGTTTTATGAGATTCAAGTGTCCTGCTGGTACATCCATGATTAGTCGATACAGTTGTGACAGATAAGTTCTATGAAAGGCACATTAGCAGGCCATCAAAGCAAGATTACATAGAAAGCATATAGATTCAACCAAAATTAAACACATAGAAAATCAGTCGAGCTTAAAATAAACAGGCAACTATTCGAAGTAATTCTGTCCATTTCCAGTTACGAATAACTAATTTACACCAAATGCGAGCCGAATCTACACCTACACCGAAATAGTAAAAAATAATATAATAAGATGTAATATGGTCTGCATATATAGGAGCGAGCTAACGTGATGTGATGGCCACGAGTCCCTGTAGAAAGCAACGTGCACCTAACCACCTTGCCGACCATGCTGCATGCACCCATACTGCAGCAGAGGCAGATGCTGCGGCAAGCAGACAAGCACTCGTAACCAGCGGTTTTTGAACAAGCACTCATAACCACTGTTGTTACATAGAGAAAAACGCCGCCGGGTGGAGAGAGACCAAGTGTCAGCATTGCACCCGCACACACAAATAGATAGCTCATGCATACACGCAAAGCAAGCAAGGCCCCAGCAGCATGCACGCACGCATACTCGCATGCATGCTGACCACCATGCTAATTAGACACCGACCATGCATGACGAGAATCTACCGTCCGTCCGCTGCTACGTGCCACCGTCCATTTACGTGCCGCGTACAATCACCAGTGCAATGCGTCTACAATGAGTGAGATGAGATGACAGGCGTGCAACGCCCCATGGCAGTTATTGTCGTGTACCCATGTTCAGGTGAACTATATGCACGACAAGGATGTGGTACTTAAGTAAATGTTGGTACTGTTAATAGCAGGTACCTTCAATGAGATGCACCTCATGCACGGCAGCAATCTGACAGGGCATACTACCAATGCTGGATGCAGTTTTGAGCACACGTTGGTGAGGTGGCTGTCTTGTCCCATCATCGATCTGTGTTGGCAGCAACAACCCAAGCACGTCACAATTCGTTTGTTGCTTTTTGAAACCAGCAGAAATGGATCAATAATTTATGGAACTGGTTTGTTGGTTATCTTAAAGAAGCGCCACTGAACCTTTTGCAGCATGATCGACAAAATATAGCGGAAGTGGAGTATTCTTGTTTATATGTTTTATTTGCTGCTGCGACGTTGCGAGGTTGCCAACGACAAAACAATAGACGTAGACTACACAAGCCTATGGGTTGGATACCTTGTGTTGGCACGTCACATGCATGCATGGCTGTTACTATGCTTGCCAATTGACAAATGTACGTATGTATGTACGTTGGCAGCTACTGTCCGTGCCATCGTCCTGTTTGGTCGTACCAATCTGACTCTGACCAAAACACATGGTATACCATACAGCAATGCAATCAATCAGTGACCCTAACAACGGTTTAAATTTCCAAGGATGAGTCGCTAATGCCGGAAGTCCTTGTCGGCTAGCTCTCTCACTCTCCTTCCATTTGCTGTCAAGGTCAAGAATAACATTGTTTACAGCAGCCAAGATGGATGAACACATGGAACTAGAGCAGGTGATGTGACTAGTAGAGAGTGTGTGACTGTGTGAGCTCGCAAATGCAGGACAGCGACGCAAGTGCAGTGTGTTTGGGGTTTGTGGCCGTGTCATCTCGCGCGTCGAGATTTGCGACAAGGTTTGGTTTTGTTTGTGCAACCAACCACCGTACCGTCCCGCGGCCGTTGTGGACGCCGTGCCAGTGCCACCAAACCAGAGGACGGGGAGCGCCTTTCCACCCGCGTACAACCCGGCCGACAACGGCGACATGCAGGTCTGCTCCGCCGGACGGTGGTGACCGGTGGAGCACCGGACGAGGCGCAACCTGCCTAGGACATGCCTCCGGTCCTTGCCCATCCCTTCTCCCCAAACATAAGAAGAAGGCACGAGTCCTATGATTGAACGCTGCACAACCAGCGACGTTGTGATTTCGGCCATGACTGGCGATATGGTAACCTTCTGCCTGTACGCAACAAAACTCCTTTAAATTGTTTCTGAAAGTGCCCTTGTTAACGACCTCATGGTCACAGCTTCTGCCAGTAATCACAGCTACATTTATGTTTATGGAGTAAGTTATTAAGAAGCAATCTAAACCAATCCTCAAGCAGACCATGTCTGTTAACAAACTCCAACTTATGCACAATTGCCATCGCTAAGAACTTCCAAAAAAACTGTCATCTCTAAGGCTTCACTTGCCTAATAACAAGATAACACAAGAATATTCACATGGATGGGCCGAATTCAGTTGTAATTGCCAGCCCATCCACAAGGTTTGGAAGAATGTCTGGCACATGCAAACAGGCCCAAATGCAGTTTCGTAAATCGAACCACTGCGTCCAGTAAAATCAACTAGTAAAAGAGTACACTTCCTAAAAAAAAGAAAAGAAAGAAAGAAAGAAAAGGGTACACTGGACATAGAGACACCTCTAGCCAACCTATATACGCACTGTGTTACTTTGGCAATTTCTACTGCAAAAACAATGCGTCATCTAAAAAAATATTTCATCAATCAAAGCTCCACATACAGCCCTTCAATTTCCTCCTAAGGCACAGGCACCAGACAAGCTTAATTGTGCACGTCCTCTACTCTAAAACGACACATCACCGTTCATAGCTTCCTAAACCTCATCAGGATCATAGCAGATTCTTCCGGGCAAGTAAAACGCCCACTGCCGTGCACACGACAACAGAGATCAGGCCATCTCGAGATCACAAGCGTTCCTTCCATGTTAAGGGCTCAGAGACTTTCCTCAACACTTCACGGAACTGTTGTCTGGTGTTATCCAGTGATCTAGAGCTATCGATCACTATGTCGGCTTCCGACTTCTTCCGGTCCAACGCAAGTTGTGCGTTGACCCTGCTCTGCGCTTGTTCTTTAGAGCACTCGTCTCTTGACATCAGCCTCTGAATCTGGGTTTCTGGGTTAACCCAGACCACAATTACTGGATTTGTCCACCGATCCATCTTGATCTCAAACAACAGCGGGATGTCCAGGATGATAACCTTGCATCCTTTCATCCATAGCTTTGCTATCTCCCACATTATGCCCCAAGAAATATGTGGCGCCAGAAGACTGGGAAAAAAACAAAACTAAAAACAAAACAACTCCTATTAGCAATGGTAAATACTGGCAGACAATAAAATGTTTCAGCTAACTGAAACATTAACAGAAAATGGCAGTAAGAAGGAATCATGTCATCAAGCGGTACACATGAAAAATTACGCTAAAAGGACAAAGGAGAAGCGGGTAGACTAGTGTCACAGTTAATTAGTTAATTGTAACATCTTTAGTGTACTCACGTTTATTTTCTCCAGCATTGTAGCATAGATAATGTTTTGTCTTTTCATGTTTAATGGTAACAATAAATAAATCAAATAAAGTTCAACAACACTAGTACTTACACAAAGAATGATAGGTGGACAGTTGACTCATGTGATACTGCATAATACAACAAAATTGACACGTACTACTGCATTCATAAAAACAGAGAGTGAAATGATGAAATATTTGAAATCAGTGAAAGGCGTACCGGTTTAGAAGCTGACGTTTTGATGGGTCCGAAAATACAATTTGCCCTAAGTGAGCTCTGTTAATTTCTCCACTTCCCAACAAAATATCATTCCCGAAGGCTTTTACAATCTTCTTCCAACCTCCAGTGCCTTTCTGCACTACATCCTATAAATGCATGGTTTTCATAATCAGTACAATGTTTGTAAAGGAAACACAGTTGTAACTCCTCACAAGCTTACAGCATCCAATAAAAATTTCAGAACTCAGAAAATATAATTACCAACCATGCTTTCCTGTGCTGACCTTTATCAGTGACGACCATGTGGATCCTCGGTGGCGTTCCCGGCAAGCTGCAGGGCCTCAGGAAAAGGAAACACAGAGATGTCAGTCAAAACCTAACCAAATCGAGAAGGCCGCAACAACCTGTCGACGAAATATGGTCGGCAGTCTACCTAGGGGTATACCCAAGGTAGTAGATTGTCGGCAGACAGATGCGCAAGCCACAAACAAGACGACGACGCAAGACAAACACAAGGTTTTATCCAGGTTCGGCCGCCAAGAAGGCGTAATACCTACGTCCTACGTCTGATTTGTATTGCTGTATATCAATGAGAGATGTTTTTTAGAGGGGTCCCCTGCCCGCCTTATATAGTTCGGGGGGCAGGGTTACAGATCTGGAAACTAATCCTAGCCAATTACAATTGCCATATGTGGCCGGATAAGGATTCCTATTCTAACCGACCAGGATCTTGATTGATCGCCAGATCCGCCTTAACTCCTTGCGTGGGACTCCGATCAGGTTAACCGGGCCGCACGTCGTCTTTTGGTGGACTGAACCCATCGATCCGGGCCGGCCCAAGCTTAGCCATAAGGGTATAGGGGTTAATACCCCCACAGCTAGTCCCCGAGCACCATGTATTATGATGCGACATGCCATTTTAACCTTCTTCGACAAGTAAGGCTTGAGCCCTTGACGTCTCTGACCACCATTGTCACCGGAGAAGTTGGTTGTCTGAAGAATATATGGTGCTCTTAAGAAAAAAGAAAAAGATTTTCGTCCGGTGAAGTGTGCCCACTTGTATTTCTGGAAAGAAATGTAAGTGCGTCTTGAAACGTAGCGTCCTTGATCATCAGAGGCGTAGGGGTCGAAAACAAACACATTCACCGCAAGGTGAAGTGTGCCCACTTAGTCCCCGAGCCTGGTAGTAGGTGACGTAGGCACGTGGTGCCAGGGTCTAAAAAAGAATTTCCAGTTAAGTTGAGAATCCAATCGTCGTACAGGCGATACGAGATGCACCGGCAGGTGCATCGTACCGATGTAGTCCCCGAGCTTGCTGGAAGGCGAGGTATGAGCCTTGTAGCAAGGTCTAAATAAACATCTCGCAACTGTATGTTAGTACAAATCACATGTAGCCGAGAAGAACGATCTCCAAGCAGTGGTCGGGACAGTCCCCGAGCACATCGAGAAATGGAGCGATCCAAAAGCGTGTGATGTGCTTTGGCGGTGCCCGAGCACGGCGATGGTGCAGGCAGTCCCCAGCATGGCGATGGTGCAGGCGATCCCGAAACACGGCGGTGGTTGAGGCGATCCCAGTACTGGCGATGGTGCAGGCGATCCCGAAAGCAGCGGCGGTGGTGCGGTCCATCATTGAGCGCAAGATATGCAGCCAAAAGAAAAGAACGCCGATTGTATTATTATTGGGTGTATTTATTTATCTCCTTACTCTGTCAAGTCCAATATGCCACATCTGGTAAAAAAAAACAGACGGATATAACATATCACTCTGCCTTCTTACTCTTTCTGACAAACAGTCGCTTGGTGCCTGTATGGAGGTGCGCCAGTGTGGGCCCTCTCACATTATCAATGAAGAGGCGCGTACACTAGAAACGAAGGGGTGCGTTTGCTGGCATAGATCTCGAGGTTGTGAAAACAACCATCTGTGGCGCGTGCGCATGCCCCCCAAGAATCTCGGGCGGGCGAAACGATGGAGCCCTTGGTTATTTATAATATACAACTGGTAAGTTACTTTTTACTGATCCCCATTGTCATTCACTGCCGCAACCTTCTTCTTCCTCTCGCCAAACCCTACTCCTCCGAAAATCACCACCAATCCTCCTCCATCGCATCCACCCTCTTAACAAAGGGCAGATCAATGGCGAAGAGAAACGCCCAGAAGAAAGGCGGAGTCATGGCGAAGGAGTGGTGGAAGTCAAGGAGCAATGAGCAGACCATCGAAGACCTCGTCGCCATGGGAGTGCTCCACAACAAGACACTCAGCGGGATGGCGTCTTATTTGGAAGGAGAAAGCTTCCCGATCCACAACCGGTGAGATTGTGGTTTCGAGGATTTCTTCAAAGCGGGTTTTGGGGTTCCAGTGCACCCTTTCCTTGAGGCTCTGCTTATATTACGAGATTGGGATTTGCAATCGCATCCCAACTCGATTCTTCTTGTCTCCACCTTCATCCATCTTTTTGAAGCTTATGGTGGCTTCCACCCCATTTCGACCTCTTTCGCCATCATTACATCTCACGGAAGAAAGGGAGCGGAGGCTTGAAGATAGCCGGAGGCGTATACCTCAATCTGCGTGACGGTATGAAGGCCCAGTACCTGCACTGCCCATGGAACACCTCACTGGACGAATGGTATAAGAAATGGTTCTACATCCGCGAAGAGCCGAACACGATCACTCTGTGTGATGTGGGGTTGATTCCGAAGAAGAAGAACAGCTGGTCGGAGAAGCCCGAGCACTTGGAACAGATTACAGAACTGCTCGGGTTGATCCCGTGGGGAAAACTGGATGGTCCAAGCGTGGTCGGGAACTTCATAAGCCGAAGGATCCAGCCCCGCCAAAAGAGGGTACATCCTGGCTTCGAGTACCAACGTAGCGCAGATCCGACGAGGACCAGAAAAGAGGCGCTCGACAAGGTAGAAATCAAAGCCAGAATTGGGGAGCTATTCAATCTAGCCGACCCCAATTATGTCAGGTTAAACGACATCGAGCACGCCTTCAAGCTGGCCCGACCTCCCCCAAAGGTAAATGATGCCTCCTTGTGCCTGTAGATTTATGTTGCAACAAAAACTTTGATTGTTGTCTCCTTTATGTTTCCTAGAGTAATGGTCATGACCGAGCAGAAGTATTCGTGTCTCCGCCCCCTGGCGTGGATTGGCCGCAAATTGCCGGCTCAACCGCCTTGAGACCGGTACCGATCAAGGCGGCGATTGGGCGGTACTCGGAGTTGGGGAGGATGTAATGACCAAGGTCGCTAGCAAGCGGCTAGAAGCCAACAAACGTCATGAGCCATCTTCCCCCTTTCGAGACGATGAAACGGAGGATGCGAGACATCTTCCGACTCATCCCCGAAAGAGGAGAAGACAAATGGGGTCAACAGAGTAGGTAGCTCCTTCGTGCTAGTAGTGATCGCACCATCGACCCGCAACCACGAGAAAACAAGCGGGGAAGTGTCAAGCACCAAACCCCAACGCCAGTACCGGTGGTGGAAAAAGACCCGGTGGAACCCGCCGAGCACGTGGAGCAGGCGCGGTCAAAGAGACGTTCCTTCACTACGTTATTCCGTGCTTCCAAGCTATAAGTATCTGTAACCTTGATATAATATTATAATTTGTATTGAATACTATTGTTTTCTGAACTTTCTCTAGTATATTAGGTCGGCGTCCACCGAAAATCCTGACCATATAGCTGGTTGTGGCGCGGCTTCGCCCGAGATTGGCGGAAAGAAGCTGCCTTTCGACGACTAAGCATGAGCCACCTATAGAAGAAATTCGTAGGAACCGCAAAGACACACAAGCGGTCCAACGTCGACCCCCGAGCAGGTGGTCGAGAAGACATGCCGAGCAAAGTACAAATGCTCGAGCACTAGCTCATTGAGGCGAGATACCTTTTGGCAAAGGAACCAGACCGAGCCGAGAAGCAAACAACCGGAGTTGGTACGAATACACTTACCGATGCTACGGCTCGTGGGAAAGCCATAGTGGTCGCGGAGACCACTATCTCCGGCCCAGCGCCGCCCCCTGAACAAGAGGCCGAAGAGGACGAAGTCGAAGAGATCCTAGGCCGTTCCAAAGACAAACGACAACATGTATATGTATCGCGCAGGCGGAACGACGAGTGGGTTATGTACGAAGAAATCCCCGAGATCGAAGAGACCCAAAAAGTTTAACGAGCGGCAAAGCGTTTGGTGACAGAAGTCCAGGTATGTTTGGCTTGACCACTTGACCCTATAATGTAGTCAAACTGTCTGACTTAGCTTGCTTATATGCAGGACTTGATGAAGACCACGAAGTACCAAAAGAAGTGCTTCGACCAGATTGAGGGGATCACGACGAGCAATAGAGAATGGCGGCCGAGGTGGGAACGCTGCGCCGCCAACTTGAAGCCGCCGACCGAGGAGAAACGAGCAAGAAACACAGAACCGTAAGCTGTCGGCCAGCTCAATGACAAAGAGCATCAAAAACAAGTAAGTTGTCATTTTGTCACATCAAGTGTATGACACGTGTTGTTGTATTGTTGGTAATGACAGCTATAATGCGAGCTTAGAAGTGAGGTAACCCACCTCCGAGAGGAGAATAGCAGCGTGACTGCAGAGTGTGGTCACTGAAGGAGGACAACGAGAAGCGGGCCTTGCCCGGTCTCAACTCTAGGACCACACCACCAAAATCAAGGAAGAACCCAAGAGTAAGTATTCCAGCCACCGTTCTCATTCTGCCCACCTTGACTGTCGTGCCTTTAAATTTGATGTCTTGTACGGTGTGCAGTTTTAAAAGCCAATGCCAAGAGGCATCTAGAAGCTGTGATGAAAGAGCATGACAGCTGGAAAGCACAATGCCTCAAGGCCACCGAGGATTGGGACACATGGAAGAACCGGTTCTAGGAAGTGGCAACTGGCATTTTGCCTATCCTCGACCTTGTCGACCCGGCGCTCACAGAGGAAGAGCCAAGGACCCCCCAGCTCGGACTAGTCGAGAGATGCAGACAAGCATGGGGATGGTTCTAGGAGTTCATTAAGGAGGCGGGTGAGTATACGGGCGCCCATGTGCTAAGCATGGTGCGTGCCCACTACCCTCTGATCGATCTCAAGCGCCTGGAGGCTGGATACCCGAAGGAAGTAGACCCAGACAAGGTAGAGGAGCTTCGGGTGGCCCAGCTGGATCTGTCGTCAAAGATAATTGGCGACATTAATATGTGTGGAGGTGGGACAGCACCTGTACAAGGTATGCCATCGACATGTCAGCTGGAAACGCCATCCGTTGCTAGCCAACCGACGAAGCCTACGGTCTCGACCAGCCAGGCATCGGTGGGGCCA